TTGCTCTGGAAGTCTATTAGCCGCGATGCCGCGAACGTCGTAAACGCGAATCTCAGGCGGGAACGAGACTTTTCCCCGTTAATCCTGAGCGTGAGAAAGCAACGGGAGAAAACCCGATCGTTCCAGCCGCTCCGCGGACCGTTTCCGTTTTACCGAGTATCGTTCTTTCGGGCTCCGTGGATCGTCGCTTCGCTTCGCGAACAGAAAAGACATCGGGGCGAAGGTCATTCGGGTCATACCGTGAGGGGTTCGCAGTACAGAGGATACGAGAAACCGTATATGTCATGATGGAAGTGCTCGCGGAGAGCACGTTTCTACGAGCGCCGAAGTTGGCCTCAAAAACGCGTTGCGCAAACCATCCTCGTCTCGCCGCTGTGAATGTATCTGTGCCCGACTGGGTGCGCCGCACCGTCGCAAGTCCAAAATTTACGAGCAAGTCACCTCTCGGCGATTTCCCTCTGATATACAACGCGAGGCGCGATGCGACGCCGACGCATCGCACGTGAATGTGTATTTTATACGGCGCGTGTACGCGAAACCGCGCTGCACCTTACGTGAGATATTGTAATTAAAACGAAGCGTGACACAGAGACCGGGCTCGATTAAATGGCGTGGCGTGTGAACGGCTAATTAAGAGCTGTTGTCGATCGGACAAAAATTTCATTAATTATTCGAGCGTGCGTCTGTAACGCGCGTGCACAAGTCATGTAATCGTTAGGGCGAAATCCGATCGTCGACGATGTGCTGATGTCATCCGTGAACTTTATGCCCGATTCGCGCTGCTCGATATTAATTCAGATAGTAATTTTCAATAATTCCACGCGAGTCGAACCTTTATGACTGCATAACCTGGCTCGAGTTTCCATGCGGTGTATACAGCTAGTGCTTCATTAAAATGTTAATAGAAAATAGATCGCGAGTCTCGTTTGCGACCGCGCGCGTATCGCATATGAGGCGACATCACGTGTTTTTAGTCTTGACCCAATAATTAGCATCATGTCCATTAAGAAAGTGTATATATACAGGGTGTACCAGAATAACTTCCAAAGCTCTCGCAGAGACGAGTTGAGGTGAACATAAAAGTAATATTCTATACCGTGATATTCGCGATGATTATCGAGATATTAATTAAAGAAGATTCGTGAATGATCACGCGAGATATGATGGATGAGTTGCAGTGGCATCTGCCATCGTATATTAGGTCAAACTGTACAAAAAAGTCCTCTACTATTTTCTTATTAACTTTATAGATTTTTCATCTAGGAACAGGGAACACCTTATATACGCGTATGAAAACCTGTTTTTTCTTCATCAGAATATTGTTGCAGGTCTCAGATAAAGTTGCGTCGACAAGTCCGCGAACGGGATACTCGCGTGATACTTTGGAAAGTGTTTATTACTCGCGCACTAGTCGAGAAAGAATCAGACGCGAGAGAAAGTCGCGATGGGGATGTTTGATTAATATAATACGCGTGGACGTATCTCACCTCATCCGAGCAGATGCAGGACTTACGATCGATAAGGTTTTTCCGTCGGGGACAGGTACATATCTTTGTGTCGCATATCTCTGTCTTGCGACAGATCGCGACTTTCTTCAAAATAAGCGATGTATGCGTCGCATAGAGCCTGAGCGAGATAATTATGCGCAAATGTCCGTGTAATAATGCAAATCTTTGCGACACCTACATGTCCGTTTATTTTCTCGTTCTCTCTATGCGCGAGCATACGCGCCTTGCATTTCCGTTCCGTCGAGCAGACACTTTTTCCGGCAGGGTCACGAGAGGAGCGTCAGTGCGAGAATAACGAAATATAAGGGGGACATATAACGACGAATAACTTCGCCCAGCGCTATCGCGAACGTTAATATTCACTCGTCTCTCGCGGAAATCGTGCACCAAACTCGTGGAGTCAATATGCCGGCGTGGGTTTCACCGGTTACGAAACGAAAGAGGAAATTGCACACAATTGAGCACGGTCCGATCGATAATTGGGATCGGGGTGGAAACAGAAGCGTATGTATTAAACAAAAAGTCGCACGTCGAGCGTATATGGCTCTCTATGGCAGCGATTCCCAACTTTTTTTCCATTCATTAAAGCGTCTCCCGTGACACTTTTATCGCGGGTGTCCGTGTGAATTCGCGAAATTGTCCCGCGCTTTTTGACGAGGAAAAAAAAACATGTGTACGTTGTAAATCTCACGTTTCTGTCATTCTGTCGCCGCAGCAGCGTTCGTTCAATTTTCCAGCTCGTACAGCTGTTTCAATCTTCCGAGACTCATAAGCCAGTTCGCTGGGAATCGCCTTTCTACAGCATGGCACACAACATTGTAGGGTGTACAATTTTATATTCTGTTCAAGGCTACTTAGCGGAAACATACTAATCACAGGGTACATCGAACGAGCTACCGATCGTGGTCGACGTTTGTTATCTGACAATTATTCTGACAAATATTCGTTCTCTTTGAATTCTAAGTCACAGAATGCTCTGTGCAAAATTACTAAAAATCCTCTCTACACTAAAGAAAAAAAGTACTTGAAAGTTCATTTGTGGGATATAGAAAATTTATTTTTGTGAAATAAAATTTATCTCTAAAATAAAATTTATCTCTAAGATAAAATTTCTTTTTGGAAAATAAATGTTACCTCTGCGAATTAACTTTATATCCCACAAATAAATTTTAAAATATTTTTCTCTCAATACATCAAGGGATTTTCTATTACATTCTCGTTTTCAAAATCATACCACTATCGTGGAAATATATTCTTGATGAAAGAATGACGATTGTCTGCAAGGGCCAATGCAAAAAGCGCGAGATCTGCGAAATGAAAAATGCGAAACGTATCGCATTGATTTTATATATATATATATATCACATAGATATTATATATATGTGTGAAAAAGCCAATGCGAGCTGAACACAGATGGACGAGCGTGCGGACAATCATCGTGGAAAAATTTATTGTATCTTTTTCATGAATATTAAACTCGCGATAGCGAGTACATATACATGACGTTCCATGCAAATGACTTGGCGAAAAAACTTTCGTCGGCAAGTTTCGCAATGAATGGGAGATAGTTTGGCAGATTAATTATCTTCGCGTGATGCGAGGTATTATTAGGTTATCGTGCTAACCAACTTTGACTGATGAAAACCGGACTTCTGGCTTCTTCCGAGCTTCGTGTGTTTTAAATTTTCGATCAGAGAGTTGCCGACTCTCATCAATCAAACTTAGTCGGTGCGACTCGACCGCGCGCTTTCGAAATACTCGTTGACAAGAAATTCATTAATCAATCCATTAGTCATGTCAACAATTAGGGTCCAACCACGATCGCGTCGATGCTCAGGATAGAGGCAGGGAAGAAAAAGGGGAAGCTGGATGTGTGCTCGACGTGCTTCCTTTGTATACACGTAAAAAGAAGAACAGTCTGTTGCCCACATTGAACGCGTTCAACCTCGTCGTTTGATTTTTGCGTAATAGAATTAGCATTTTGAAAAGTATGAGAGAGAGAGAAAGAAAGAGATAGACAGAAACAGAGAGAAAAAGAGAAAGACACGTTCCACAGTAACACGATTTCGACGAGTTCGAACCGATATCCATTACTACGATTGCGATAGATGCGCATAGAAATATAATTAAATTAATAACGCCAATTAACTCGAATACAAGTGAACGCAGTTATCGGATAATACGGAAAATAAATTGCTTCACGTTCATTATCAAAAGTTCATTCTTGTAATGAAGAACTTCATCATTATTTTCAGGCAAATAATTTATTTTTGAAATGTATCTTGTTTTTCGTATAGCATGTATATATCGAAGGAGGAAATTACTGCATCTCCGTTCAGAGAAGCCACGTTGAAGCAGCTGAACGGCAGAAAGGCGGCTGCTAAAATCGTGTCTGACCGAACGTAGATCGCAACTACTCGCGCGGCGGTGCATCCAGCGCAATCGTTGGTCTTCTCTACGCACATACGTAGCGGGATGATTCATTGGGGTTTCCGACACCGTGCCGTGCCGCTCGTTATTTAGGAGGATGTCAGTTTTTGTAACAGCGCGATAAAGAAGCGAACGCATTGTTTTCTTCATGAAAATGCTCACTCGAATATTCCGCGTCATTTGTCGCGCTACGCGGGAGATGGAAGTAGCTCGTTAATTTCGCTTCCGTTCACAAAATCACATATCCACTTGGAAATTAGATCAGACGGACGTCACACCAGTGTCGGGCATTAATCAATTCTCATTTTCTTTCACTAAAATAATCGGCAAATCGATAATCAAGATTACGTACTATGTTTTTAGTACAGCAAAAATAAACTGTCAATAAGCTCTATTTTGCTGAGGAATATAATAAATTTCGCTAGAATCATAGCAAACGTTTTGATAACACGTTTCAGTTCCTAAATTAAGAGAAAAAAATGATTTCTAACTAAAATTATAATTATTTTTGGTTCCTATTTTTTGATTGCTCCAATATGAAAATGGTTGTAGTTAGTTTAGAAAATGATTGCAAATAGCAAATATTTTTGTTTTAGTGTTTCTCAGTATAAAATATAAGTAGTACAAATAACAAAGGAAAGGACAGTGAATTACTGCAGAATTGCTCTATTCCTTGTATCCCAATGGATAGCAATTTTTACTATAAAATCCTCTCCGCGTACACATATAACGATTTAGTTATTGATTCGCCAGTTCGTGTTAAAAAAAATTTTGAATCGATTAATGTCCAACGTTGCGTCACATTGCGTCATCGTATCGGCGAGATTTCTAACCGATTTAAATACAAAGATTCAAGATTAAATGTACTAAAGAGAACATAGTATTGGTTTCGATATCAATTTCGTTCGCCCTCGGTCTCCTCCAATTTTTACTCACGTCGATTCCCGACAGCCGAACGGCGTCATCGCCCGTACATGAATCAGCCCGTGTACACGCCAATAACAAACAATCGCAACCGTGATCTGCGCGATATACTGTGTACACACATATGCTTGGACTTACGCTGGGTGTCGTGTTGCCCTGATTGGCATGTTGGGCTGGCACCTCGTCCTGGTAATAATCGTCATTTTGGGTACCCGGCACACTCTGGGCGAAGTCGAGGAGCCGGCGATTCGGACTGTCAGGCGTGGTAGGCAGGTCGGCGGGTAGATTCGAGAAGCAGGCGTTCGACGCGCTGCGCCGGTGCCGCAGGGTGCTGTAATGTTCGTAATTGCGGTAACAACCAGCCCCGGTTTGTGTGGGCCCGCGGCCGCACGCGGAATCTCCTTCCGTGCTATTGCCGTCTACACCGGATATGTTGTGACCTGGAAAGAAGTTCAGGGTCTGTGTGGTTCCTCACGGAAGGGCTGCCCAAGGGCAGATCGCCCGGAGATTTTCGACAAACAAGATCTCGAGTGTTAACGTGAAATCGACGAATATGTCCGGGGAACGCGGGATTACCTTAGCGGTATACTTTCACAGTCGCGGTATATACTCAATTGGTCGGTAATTTTGAAGGTAAATATCAATACACGAGGCACGAAGTGAATGTAAACACCGGTTGGTCCCGGGAAAATCAATCTGCGAACGATATAAAAGGGAAACTAACGGGTCTATCTCTCTCTCTCTCTCTCTCTCTCTCTCTCTCTCTCTCTCTCTCTCTCTCTCT